GACTGAATGGGTGAGGGAGGTATTACTACGTATAGGAAGACCAGGGAAAGCTTCATGTAACGACTGAGGAGTGGTGTGACGTCAGCCTAAGCGCGCTAGTCAGTCTGAGGAGAGAATTTTGTGGCATTGACCGACAAACATCACTGCAGAGAGAAGTAGAAATTCAAGGTCATGTGTAAAATATGATCTGAGCTACAATCAAATTGATCAGTCAAAGGATATGCGGGGACAATTAATAGATTCATTTGGGCTAGAGATGACTTTAAGATAGTTATGTGACAATGCCTGGATTTAAATGGACAGAAAGATATGCTTGGAATAGAGAGAGCAAAAGAGAGAGAGGTGTGTGTCATTAAGAAAGGAAGTTGTGCTTCAGTTTGCAGATAAAATTATCCATATGGGAGAAGGAAAGAAGGACAATGACAGAGAAAAAAGGACAGAGAAGCAGAAACCTCTGAAGAATACACTTACTATAGGTGATCTGTGGTCTAGGTAGCATTTTTTGTGGGAAGGTTTGTGAAATTAATTCTCTCTTGGCCTCGCCATCTGAGATGAATACCAGCTGTATACTAAAGCATGCGCTTCCCTTAAAAAATTTCATGTTTGCATTTCAATTAACAGGCACCAAATAGCTAGGCTACAGGAACTTCCATCTTGTATAATACAACTAATATAAATCACGGATCAGTTCTTGTGTGGGTAGCAGCCAAAATAAAATCTCTCTCCTATATCTTGATAGCTGTGGAAGTGACACATAAAAAATAAATTCCCAGCTGTTTGGGTTTCATTTTAACAAAATAAGGGGAAAAATGACAATCTGACTAAATTTGATCATTACTGAGATAGTAATAACTTATCATGACAATGAATAAACCAGAAATGAACTAACTATCCAGCAATTATGTCCAACATAAACAATAGGCTAGAATCATGTTTTATTTCTCCTGCCACAGATAAACATTCTGCCCATTAAGCCCTCTTCCTCAGGTTTTTAAAAATTTAAAACTAACAAGTAAGACTATGTTGTTGGTATATTTTAAATATTTGTACACTTTAGGACAATATGCTAAGAATGTAAAGAATCAAGATGGAAGTTCCTACACCCTAGCTATTTTGTACTTATTCAAATTTAAATGCAAGCATGAAAACTTTTAAGGGAAACACATACTGTATTTTAGAGTTACAGAAATTATGGTTCATGATTTGTAACTTTCTAAAAACATATTTCCCTCTAAGAAAAAATACAGATGTCATAAATATGAACAAATGAGTGAGGTAAAACCTGAATTTACATTTATTAATTCATGAGGATAGGTTTCAAACTGCAGACACAACTGTAGCTTTCTTGTTGGTAATTTATTCCAAAAATATGATTACACTGCCCACCTGGTATATGCATCTGTCTTTAGTACCTATGCTGGAATTGCAATTCTTTAGAGCAGTAAATAGCCTCTAAGCAACACATTCTGAGACAGTTACTGTACTTTTCAGACACTTAATATTATTCAGCCCTTGGCGTACTGCATTCTCCCGTTACCCAAGCTGTACCAGTCATCATTACTTAGAAGCTGATGGAAGTACAGTATCGAAGTACACTGTAATTGTCAAATATGATATGAAAAGATACAGCTTCTAAGGACTAGAATATATGCTGTATGCTTTTTTCATTTACCATTTAACTGATGATCTTACGGAATAAAATCTCTTGTCGGGGCCTACATACATATATATTTTAAATAAATATGGTCCAAATGAGACCAAAATCAGGGGTTGGGTGGTACGGTCTAATTTTAAATCCTGAAACAAAATTTTTGGTTTCTGCCCTAATATTAAGATTTCTGTCCCTAATATTAAGATGTCAGAAGGACTAAACAGAAATCTACCATTAGATATTACCTCAGGATTTCATAAGCTTTAAGTCTCCTTTTTATCATTGCCATCATTAGAATTTTATTCTGTTATTACGATAGATATTGTTTTCTTCTGAACTGTAGCAGGATTCAGCCCTGTAATTATGGAGTCAATCGTTATGGTCGCAGCTTTAGAACTAAATAACATGGTGTGTTTTCTAGTAATATCAGGGATTCAATTCTTCTGTTACCTAAGAAGAATTGAGAACACCTTTTTTCAAAACTACAAACAAAAATTCCGTGGGTATAACAGAAGGCATTTTCTGAGAATTTATAAACAGATCTGTTCTGTTAATTTATGAGCTTAAATGAAGAAAAACAGATTTTGCAGTTAACTGTTGATTTGTACAGCACACCTTAAACTTTCTATATGAAGCTCAAGGACTTTTTTTTGTAGAAACTACATTTGATTTTTAAAAGGGTTTTTTTTTTTTTTTTGCCATTAGTCATTCTATTTCCTCTTCCTTATATCCCAATGTTCCAGTAGAGAAAAAAACCAAGCAGTGCAGGTCTCTTTCAAAATGACGGATGCTTCCCATTTATGTGAACGGAACGGAGCTGCTATGTTCTTATCAATACGGCAACCACCTCTACTGTACTTTAGCTGAAGGAATTTCTGTGGTATTTACAAACTCTGGCCATGGCAGCCATGCTGAAAGAGGACAAGTCCTCACAAGTTTCTCAATATGCAACGATTTTATGAAACGATCCTTGAAAACAGATAAGCGTTATGTTACAGAAAATAATGACACGTTTCCCAAGTATTTCGTTTTTTGAAACTTTCTTGAGTATGAGGTCCATTTGTCTAATAGGACAGACAGAAAGTACCCTCAGTGTGCCAGAATGGCAACAAAATCATATACTTTATTTAAAATCTACTCTACAAGTACAGACACAACTATGTACTCATTATGCTTCCAAAGTATAATAAAGGAAGGAATTAATTTTGCATGCTTTTACCTTGTATTCTCCTATCTACTCTATTTTGATTCTTTAGTTTTAACTCTGTATTTCCTGAGTTTATAGTGAGTGTGCTGAGGATATTTACACATTCCTGTAGTGTTTTTCTACCTATATTATTAAAATATAGTCTCAATTTTAATTCCATTCCATTTTAACTGCAGAAATTATAAAACTCCTTACATTTACTTTCTTTTTTTAATGTAAATCTGTGTAATTACAAAGGTATCTTTTTTTGATTTTAAAGGTTAAATCCCGATTTTGGGTCATGCCACAAACCAGCCAATTCTATTTCATGCTCCAAAATACTGTTGTACTGAAACATACCTTGACTTTTTCTAAGTGATCCTGCAGAGAGTCAATTAGCAGATCGCCCACTGGCTGCCAGGATGCCTTGAACACTTCAGCCTGGCGTAGTTTCAGGTCCAGTTCATCCATCGCCTCTTGAAGCCCCTGCAGTCTTCCAAGGGCATCATCTATCTTCTTTTGCCAATCAGCAGAATTTAGATTCAGCTTATCCCATTCCGTTTTGAGATCATCTGCTTGCCTCCGGAGAAGTTTAGCAACATTCTGGGCCCTCTCCTCAGGTGATAGCTCTAAATGTGAAATTCAACAGGCTTTTAGGGCATACTCTGTCTTAAAAGATAAATAACTGCCATCTTGGTAGGCCAAAGAAGTTCAAAGCTCAGCAAGAAACTATTCATAACCAAAGACAGCTTACTTCACTAACATACACTAACTGTAAAATTCCTCAACAAATTTAAGTCTTTCTGTAATTCAGACCACCCAAGTATGGTAGTGCAATGCATTTTTAAACTTTCCACCACACCTTGCATGTTTGCCAACTCTATCTTCATTCAGCAAAATAGTTCTGCCCACACCTGAACATTAACCACTGTGAATCTTTTATTTGAGCTAAGTGGATCCGGAAGCTTTGCTGAATTGGTCCTTCAAGACTCAACAGAGACTTTTGATCTGCTTGACACCTGATATACACTTTCTAAACAAACTGTTTGCTTCCGCAGCACTTAAACTACTCTCTGAATTTTAGGTTAAACTGCTGCTTTCCTCAGTCAGCTTTTAGGCCTCAGATAGATCTACAGTTACATACAGGCCCAGAAGGGGCCCAGAAGGTTTAAAGCCAGTTTCAACATCTACTTATAAATATGCCTTTCTATTTAGTTCTGCAGTGCTCAGAAGGATCACTAAGGATTTCTTTCATCTATATTTTTAGCTCAGTTTATGAATACTGAGATTCAGCATAAGGAGTGCATAAGGACTGCTCTCACAAGGACAAGCAGAATTTGTTCAGTCCTTGTTGGTCATCACTGAACTTTCTAGCAGCACGTTATTAGAGCTTTCTTCAATCACCTCTCGGTTCTTGATAGAGCTTCTCCAGTCCCTCCACAGGCTGCTCTGCTGGAAGCATTCGCACTGTCTCAAGCGCGCTCATGATAACAGGCTCTTTCGTTTTCAGCTCCCTCTTGAAAGTCTGTGAGATGAAACACAAATATCATAAATGCATCATCCATAATGAAATACTGAGTGCTAGCCTTTGTTTTTGTCACTTTAAGAACAAAATTTCCAGCCACAGCTTCCCTGTGTGTTACTATGAGTAGCTGCTAAAAAAAAAAAAAAAAAAAAAAAAAGTAAAGGAGATAATCCTCAGCTTTTGATTGACCTGAAATGTTTTCAAAGGGGCGAATACATTGGCAGCGTATTGCAGAGTAGCCAAGGCTGCTGATTAAATCGTTCACTGTGAGAAGGACCCCTTTGCTGATTAACGTCAGAGTCAAACTCCAAAACCTCGCTGGAAGGGACAAGGCTTCAGCTGGCTCTGTATTGAACAGCACTGGCAGAGCTAATGCTTCTTGAGAGAGAGATTTCCCAGAATGTGATGGAAAATCCAATGTGTCTCACAGCCAGCACTTTGCTACTGCTGCTGGCAACTCCTAGATCATAAGCGGGGAAAAAAGGGATTTGTGGATACCGCCACGCTAACCTTTAACAACGAGTAGCAAAAAAAGAGGGAAAAAAGTAGCATATGCTCTCCCTGCTATTACTGATATAGCTGCAGCTTTTCCAAAGTTAAATGAACTGAGGAGACTTCTGAAATGAAGAATCAAGGCCAAGGTGAAAATTTAGAAGTGAAGTCTAGCCTACTTCTACTGTAGAGCTGACTGTAATTTCAGTGCGAAACATGCATCAGAATCAAACGGCAGACAGTAGTCCTTCTGAAGTAGTTAATTCCTAATTCCTTTAATCAGTATCTTTTAATAATTTCCATAACTTTGTGATTAACATTGCTCAGTAGTAAATTCTGTTTCCTATCATGCTTTTTGGCACCTGTCCTCCTTCTTATCTGTTTTTGTGTTTCCTATTTGCATTTTTCTTTCTCCAGTAACAACTTCTACTACTGTCTCTGTTCTATTCTCTGTTTGCAAAATGTCCATCGTGACATTGTCAAGGTTGGCACTTAAAAGTTTCAGCAGGCTTCAGAAATTATACACAATGACATGGAGAATGAGAGACCATATGAATCTCTGTTTTATTCAAAATGTGAACTGCTAGGTGGAGACATTTCTGCACTCTCTCTCATCGAGGTTTCTTTGGAAAAATTTCACTACACTTCTCTTTAAAAGAAAATATGACTCTACATTTGATATATGAATATCATAAATGATATATGATTTTATAATTCTGAATCCAAAATGTTGGCTACACTATTGTGCAGATAAGAGCTGGCCTAAGAGTCGCACAATTTTTGGCATACTGTGTTGAATTTATCTTTATCTTCTGTAACACTGTTTTATTCCAGAATTTACTTCTCTGTTTACAAAACAAAACTGAAGGTATACTGTTTTCAAGCAGCAGAGTAGTAAAACATGAGAAAGTAATAGCTCAGTGTAATACACAAAAAAAAACACTGCAAAAAGGAGAACCATATTTCATGAGGATCTTTTACTTTAAGGATTAGAAAACTCTTTTTCCAACACAAGAATTATGTAGACTTCTTACATAATAAATTCACCAATTTAGTTAAATTAATTATTAAACAAAACTTGGGTTACTATGCAAACTAATGAAAGATCATAAATTCAGTATTAAAAAGTTCATTACACTTTGAATTAAATTTGATATTAACTGCTAGGTGCAGAAAATACCTAACAGGACTAATGATAACACCTGACGTTTATAATGAGAACATTCATAGGTAAAAATTCTTAATACATTTCAGGTAAGTAAACTGAAGCAAATAACTACATTCTTCTATTACAAATATTTAAACAAACTATTTATTAAGTGGTCAAGAACTGGCCATCAGGTTCTTAATTATGAAATCAGGAAAAACATTTAGCAAAGTGCGCTCTCTTGAAGGAAACAACATAGCCAAAAATGTGAATTTTGTGTCATGGACATCAACGGGACCGGGATCCTTTCACAGAGTATATCTGCTATCACAAAGGAATCTATTGCTTGATGAGTATCTGTGACAAATGTTTTAAAAAAAGATGTTCACCCACAGGAGTCAACATTTTGATTTGCACAAAGAAAGAATAGTAGTGTATATTACAGCAAAACTCCCACTGGACACTGCGTAAAAACGGAATGAGGTTACTCTACAAGTAAGATAGCTTAACTTAGATATTTTTAGACTCAGAAATTTTTATCATTCATACTTGACTCTTGCATAAAGTACAATGGAAAGAAGAAATATATCAAGGCTTTTTCATGTCTCTAAACAAGGAAAATCTATTCTTTTAATTAGCTTTTGTGTCCATTTCACATTACACACTCGGTCCTGCTAGAGTACAGCAAGTCTGCAGCTCAAGTAGCCTAACTCAGAATGCTCCCTTATGAATTGTGAGTTTTGCTCTCATCTGACAGAATTACAAGTGGCATCAATAGTCATACTACTTTTTAAGCATTACAATTATACACCAACTAAAGAAAATAATATGCTTTATAAAAAACTCAGAAAGCAAATTATTTCTCAAAAATGTTTAAGTCCTAAAAAACAGTCAAAATAGGAAGCACACGCGCAAAGGTGTGTTTCCACCAGCACACACAGAGAGCCAGAGAGAGGCACTGATATTCTAACAAAGAAAGGGAACATATAACTGTGACATCTCCTAGGATATTTAAAAGTCAGGAACGCCTTTGAGATAGATATTTGGGAAGAAGTGGTACTGGTGCATGGAGTGCTACTGCTGTAGTCAACAGTAGACCCTAGCTATGCGGATGCACAGTCAGTGGGAAGGACACAAAGAATCTTCTCCTTTCAGCTTGTACTGTTTCTGCATAAAGACTATACCAACCAAATATAGCTTGCAGCATTGTATTTCCAAGAGAGTGTTAAAGCCACACATCTCTTATCATCTCTTGTCCAACAGATCAAGGACAACATAAGCAGGTCTGCATAATGCATCCCATAATGTGTGTGATCAGGAATCACTGTACCTATCTATCCCCTCAAAATGATGGAGAAATTCTAACAGGAACTTTCTGACCTTATATATTTTGTATTTAGTCACAAATAGAGTCTCTTTTGGGAAGTCACTACAGGAAAAGAATGAGCTAATGCGTTAAATATTTCTTTTCCAACTTTTCCATTCTTGATGTCGGAGCTGGTGGGTGGGCTTATAGCGATAGTCCACAAATCCTGAGTCTTAGAATAACAGTGTAAGAGTTACCTGCTATTCTCGTTGTCTTCCCTATATGTAGTTTTGATCTGTAGACTTCTACCAACTGAGTTAAATATATTTCAGCATAAGGAATAAAAAAGGAGAGAATTAAAAATATATATATACGGATCTGATACAGTCTTAGGTAGCACAGAACAGCACTAAAATTAATGAATGTTCCTTTCACACTATCCCATTCCAAAAGGCATTCTCACTGTTTTAAGGTAAAGCTAGCTTTACTGGGGTTTTTTGTTTTGTTGGTTTTTTAGGTGAAATATGTACATGCTACCACAAAAGAGCACAAGTTGCAATAAATGACATTTTTTCTTCTTTTGGAAAAAAATGAATTTACCTATCTAAAGCCCTGACAAATACGTCTCTACAATAAGCAGATCATCACTGATAACAGAATTAGCTTAAACAAATTCTAATTTACAGGTAATGATTTCAGGCTAATTTTATTGAATTCCTGAACTTCTTTCACACTTTGTGGTGATTGTAGAGGAAATCGAACATGTGTAATATATGAGCTGACAGAAAAACAAGTAACCTGCTTTATTTATGCATCTCTATTTGTCATCAACACTACAGCAATAATGGCATTCTGTCCACCATTTTAATAATGCATATATTGATCAGCTTATCTCAGACCTCCATTAGCCACTCATGGGTGTCCTTAAATCTCTTCAGATGGAGAAACAAAGATTGTTTAAACTGAAAAATGAAAATATAATGAGAAAATAAGAGTTGCATTAGTAAAACTAACATTAATATCTGCTATTATAGAATCAGATGTTTTTATTTTAACAGATTTTACAGAGAAAGAGTGCAGTTAAATGAATTCAGGATGTTTCCCAAACAGAAGGCTTTCTGAAAATGGGTTTTGACCTTAACTTTAAAAAGCAGATATCAGCTGTGCCACCAGAACAGGTAACTGTTTTCAAACAGGAGCTGTACTCCTTCTTAGACACTGTTTCTATAGTTTTCATGTGGAAGGTTTTCCACGGATTTGCTCACAATTAACTTGTGTATTCATAGATGTTATTTTATGCTGTTAATACAATCACTGCACAAAAGGTATGGCAATTCTCAGAAGAACAAAGTTAAAAGTAGACTACCTACGTGATGCCTAAGTTACAATCCAGGAAACTGAGCAGCAGCAATAACATATACACAGTTATTAATATAATTTCAGTAAAATGCATTATGAGTCTTAATAAAGCAAAGAAAACTGGAAGAAAAAGAAATAACATTTTGACGAACAGGAGTATTTTTGATTACTGATTAAAAAAACCACCACTACATTCTAAGATTTTTGGCACGGAAATGACAGTTTTTTCAGATGCCAAAAATCAATCAAAAAATCCAATACGTATATTAAGTTAAAACAAATAGTGATTATATGGGTGTGGTGGGGACAAATTCCAAAGTGCCTTCTCTAAATAGCACATCACATCTATAATGAAATGCCTGCTCTGACTACATGGATATCTTTTTCTCGGCTGAGTGCAAGCTTTCTTCTGGCATAAATTCAAGTATTTGCAATTTTTAAAGCCAATCTTGGCAACCGGTAGCATTCTAAAGTTAAGAACCTACTTCTTTTTATCTTTGCTGTGAATTTCTGAGATATTCTAAATGGTCTTCTAAAATAAAGAGAGGTTAAAAATTGGTAGAAAATATTTTTAAATTATATCCTTTAAGGAAAAAAAAAAATCAGCTCGTAATATTGCTTGAGAAAAAAGTACAAAATTTTGTTTGCATTCATCATTCCATTTATCAAAGGCAATGAATTACACTGCTTACACATAAGGCTCCCCTGCTGAAAGTTTTTCTCTTCCCCAACCAGGAACTTACCTGGGTTAATTTCTAACTTTTCCTGGCCAAAAAAAACACCAAAACACCTTCACAGAGAGATGGGCATTGTACAAAGCTGGAATTTTGGACCATTTAAAAGCTTGGGCAGAGCAGGTAGAGATTTAGCTTGTTTATTGGAGACTGATTTCCAGAAATGAGATTCAGGAGAACAAAATGAACAGTCAGCAGGTTCTCTTTCTCAAGACTTAAACTTCAGCTACTCTTTACTTTCACAGCAAACACACCGAGGGCTAAACTTTAGTCTTGAGCAGTTGCCCAACACTCTGGAAAGACCATATTTTCAGTAATAGGCTCCAGTTTTAAGTAAGCTAGAGACTTTTACATTTAAGGTACAACCTGCTTTAAAAGCATTTTTTTGAAGTTCAGGAACGAGCTAAGCTATTCATCTGGACACAGCCTTTGTACGTCTGCCTCTCTAAAAAGAAACTTTTAGAGTAACAGAAAGTCCACAGTGTCTAGGAAAAAATGTAGTAGAAAAATCCTAAGCTGCAGATAGAGCTTTTGTCAAAGACAACCTGAAGTTTGTAGAGTTCTGTACTGATCATCCTTCCCTCCTTCTCTGTAAGGTATCTTTGAAGGGTAGACAGGGTGACCTAATTTCAAGGGTTACAGTTTGTTCTTTTTTCCACAGGGAATCAGAACACCTACAACTAGAAAGACCTCACATTAAACTACAAAAGTGCTGCAGCATGGGAAAAGGAAAGAAGCTGTATTTTTAGAAAGAAATAAAATGTTCTAGCTTTGATACAAAGAAACGATTACATGTGGTGACCAAAGATTTCCACCTGTATATATCTGCATGTGGGAGAGAAGATGAGCAAAATGGAAAAGGGAGATGCAGACCTATTTTGTAAAGTTGCTTTGCATCTATTTATGGTGCCTTCCTTTCACCTAACACTTTTTGTCCCCAACAGTTTTAAATACTTCAATGTATAGGTGAGTGACAGAGAGATCACTTAGTTCATCACTGATGCCTTGCTACCTTAATGATGAATTCTGGGAACTTTCTGAATAGCTTATAGGACAATATACAACATTAAATTTTTACAAGTTAACTTATACAGATGAAAAAATTATTTATTTGCTCTAGGAAGAAATGCAATGTTTTCAAATATTCAAATATGGTTCCAAGGCAAGAGTTGTATTGCAATCACTTAAAGAATCTTTGCCTTATCTCCACCGTTGTCATTGGATAAAGGGTTTGAAATGATGGCATGCTGAGTTAAGGCAACATCTACATTGTTTCCTGAATCCTGATGGCCTGGACGAGCTTCACAATTTTACAACGGCTTTATGCCACTTGCTACAGCCAGCTGGCTAAAACAGAACTCAAGCACTTCATGTATCTTAGCTTCTGGGGTGAAAAGGCAAGGAAAGACAGTGGTGTTCCCTAAAATCTTGGATGTTTTCGCCTCACTGTTTCTGTGATAATACTGAAAGTCTCAAGTAAAGTTTTGAAAAATATGCACCGTATACGTGACTTATTTCTAAATTGCTTGAGCAGTAGGTAGAGGGGAGAGCTAGAAAATGGGACAATCCGGCCCTTGCAACAAAGCACTATATTTTCTTAGAAAAGAAAACATTCACTTAGGCACTCTTGGCCATTAGGTGAAGATGGTCCCTTGAGGAACCATGTTGCTACCACCTCCATCAGTCTGCTACTGTGAACAAATGCCCATTGGCCTATGCCAAAAGCCAGGTCTGTTTGCACACAGTATTTCTGGACTTTGCACAACCCACGGGGTCCCAGTAACTTAAAGCAGCAAGATATGCCAAGTTCTCTCTCTAAACTCGATTTTCTCACTATTTGCTCTTAAATGTCTCCTTCGGGATGAGGTAGGACAATCTACTACAGCCATATCTATGATACAGCTATCAAAGAATGGGGAAAACACACATATTTAAGATTCAATTTCCTTCTCTCGTACAATTCCAGACTTCAGATTTCTCCATGCAACTCTGAAATGAGAGATTTGGGAACTTCAGGAAAAACGCCTTTTATGGCAAGCTTCAGAAACTGAAAGTTACATATATGCAGCAGAACATTTTGAAAGGATGATTGCTGGCTTTGGGATATGTTCTTCTCCCAGTCCAAAGTTGTTTGACTTTGACAATTTAAATTATTCAGCAGAAAATCCATTTGCTCAAATTGACTTTTTAGGTGTTACAGTGAAGCACATTTCATCACCAAATGGGAAGAAAAAAAGTCTCACTATGTGATTATTTTACCGAAAGACATGTGGAAGAAGGAGAGGAGAGATAAAATGGTACATCCATGTCAATTCTAAGAAACTGAATAGTATATAGTGTAGAAATGACATGATATAAATACCTATATGTTTCATTCCTATCACTAGATAGATCTACCTTTTAAACTTGAGAGGACAAACTCTTTCTATTAGTGAGGTTCCTTGCACTTAATTTTATATATTTCTCTGAAAAATAACCTCCGATGCTGAATCAGGATCTGTCCTAGAGGGTTGATGTCTGTTTTCTTTTATACATATTTTTTATCCACTAGCGCTTCCTGAATTAAAGTTTACATCAGAAGCTACCACTGAAGGAACCAAAACCTTGTCATGAGGGTTAGATGATAGGATTTAAGCAGGTTAGTAAGAGACAGAATAGGAGTTGCTCAAGTTGGGCGTACTATCCTAGTCCCATTTCCCATGGCTCTGTCTGCCCAGAACAAGTGTTTCCCCTATTTATTGCTTCATTTAGCCATTCTTCAGCTTTATTTTACCAGAACACTGTTTCCTAATGGGTAACACTTTACAGCACTGTTAAAAAAGCACCACTCAGGTACCAGAATCTTGATTTTACATTCTGACTTGAATAGACTGCAAAGGAAAGGCACAGTAAATTAAAAGTGGTTTACTCGAAGCTAGACATTGTTTTAGCATAAGACAGATGTGAACTTAATATTTAACATAGAAATAAATGCTACAAGCATGTCTTTCCTGCAAAAAATGTGCCAATCTTTTTATGAACACTTACTCAGCAGCATTACGCTAATTTGTTGTTTATCTATCTGGTTGGTTTTTTAAAAAATGCCATTACAAGGGTTGGATTCAGGTCCCTTTTTACCACAAAGCTTAGTGTGAACTCCAGAAGACCAGTCCCCATATAATGTTCTGCTACTCTCATTCCATAAGGATTCCCTGATGAAACTAGTACGAGGCAGATAATTACAGTCAATTATCGTAACAGTTTCATAATATAGATAGTTCTTCACTAGGATTGATATCAGCTACTGTTTTCACAAATGTTTCCAAAAAAACATCAGATCATGGCAAAATGGGGTTTCAAAAAGTACACACGAAATTTAAATGCACGAGTTAGAAAAATACTGAATTTTCAGAACTACTTATTTATTCCTGAAATAATATTAAATTTCTATTTGTTCTAGTCAGCAAAATTAGCTGTCTAAGATTAATCTGTGAAAATGCTGTGTGGCTCTTCAAAAAGGCCAAGCAGCTGATAGCAAATATGCCATTCTCCAGCAGACTGTGTGCGCTGTGTTTGCTGTGTTTGAAAGCTGTGCTTGAAAATTTTCATCTAGTATTCTGACACAAAAAGGTCATTTTTTGTTACCTCTAACATGTTTTTTAAATGGTATCTTACTTTTTTCAAAAAGGAGCATTTAATCCAAAACTAACCTGCAAAACAACACACAACTGCTAAAAGATTATTCAAAAAAAATCATACCCTGTGAATATCATTCTGTTTCTGCACAGTGGGAAGATCTCCACCAATGGGTGCTTGCTGTTTTAATTCATCCTCCTTTAGTTGCAGCCATGCCAAAAGTTCCTGGAGAGAGAGATGTAAACGCTTCCACTGGTCTGTACTGGCTTCCAAATGGGACCTGAAAGCACATGTTAAATATCAGATGTTTTCAGGCACAGTGAAAATAAAAAATTGTAAAAACTTAATCTTGTCATAAAGATCCTACTGTTTCATCAATTTAATGATTTTCAAATGGCTTCAGTAGCTTTGAATCAGATTCTGGCAACACTAACTTAAATTTAGTTCCACGGTCCTGGCCTGAAACATCCCTGCTTTTCACATCTTTTCACTTCTTTATATACAGGACTAGTATGAGACTAAATCTCAGATATATATACAGGACTAGTAGGCTGTCACTAGTCTCTCCTCCCACCTCTCAGGATTAATGAGAGACTAACTGTTTGAAATGTAGAGATCAGTTTTCCTCTCACAGAAGAGCAGGTACTTCTCTAAACCATTACCCAAAACATTCTGCTTCACACAGGATTCATGCGGTTGCTCACCTGTAAGATAAGAGGCCCAATGCCTCCCTTTGCCCCAAAAGTCATGAGGAAATTGTTAAACCTAACAGAATCCTCTTATACCACACAAATTTGTGCCATTTGAGGAGAGGTTTGGATGAAATTAATCAAATCATTGCAAAAATTAAAAGATGGAATACTAATTTATGCAAACAATATCTCTGCCATAACGATCTTCTAAATGTTTCCTCTGTGTGTGTGTGTGTGTGTGTGTGTGTGCGCGCACGCGCGCGTGCCCGCATACGCAGGTGTGCACATGTGTGTGTGCAAATACGTGTTTTTTTAATACTTCAGATGAAGTGTTGAGCAACTGCTTTATATGCAGAGAAAACACGTGACTGAAACATCTCTGGATTGATCAAAGCTTCAGCTTTGCTTGTCTCAAGTGAAGCACATTAAAATTTTGTCTTCTGAGACTTAAGAATACATACAAAAAAAGGCTGCTTTTGTTTAATTGCCGGTTGGAAAGAAATTCCTAATTCATTTTCAAGTATCTTAAGAACTTCTCTTAGTAATTCAAATGAAAAGCATTATTGTATAACAGCAAACATCAAAATGTTGCAGCAAATAAAAAGAGATTTTAACAAATGCTTTTCTGTCTAAACTGCCAGCTTTATTTATATACCGTCACTCAGCACTTTCAGAGACTGCATATAAAGTCATATATTTTCTGATAGTGAAAATCCTACTTCTACACCTCATATAAAATAGGCTATAAAGAAATGTGATAAACATTGACCCAAAATTTTGTGGACCTCAATATTAGGTTTAGATATGGAAAAAAGGAACCGTGGAGGGCACGGCCAGCTCTCTTCCTTTGAAATATTCTTTGAGCTCAGCCTTATCCAATTTCTTACACCAAGGCTGCAGGTCATCCAAGTCTCGGGCTGCCCTGGAAAGTCGTGGGGGGAGCAGGGAGGTTGTGGGGTGGTCGCAGGACACAACAGCAAGAGCTAAGGGCACATGCGTTTTGGAGGGGATATAGTCAAGGGGCCAGGTCTTTGTATCAGGTTAACTCCCATCTCCCACACTGACCCCCGCCCAAATGCAAACTTCCACCTCCTCCAAACACAGGCAGCAACTAGGAGCGAACATCAGGGTCATCGTTTTCTTCCACAGCTGTGCTGTTAGAAGGGGAAAGCTTAGCACATAGAGATGGCAAGAGGTTTCATTACCATTGCTCTGCTCTGACCTTCCCCAGCTTGGCAAATGGTTCCCCCAGAACCCATCTTATTCTGCTCTTCCTTCAGATTTGGGAATATATGTATATATATGTGCGTACAGTAGTGCACATTAGAGACAAATTCTCATGTATGTGTAATTTTGTTCAAGCATCAATAGGCCAAACAGATAATATGAAGTCAGTTTTAAAAATGAATTCTTTAAAACAAAGAAAGTATTTGTTAGGGTAAACTGCATTGACTAATCAGATGGAAAAAAGGGGTGACAGTGGAAGTGAACTTGGCTTGTCTTGGTAGCTACTTTCTGTTTTACCCAACTGAAGTGCACTGGATTTCGAAAAGAATGCCTCACCTAAACTGAGTGAGAACATGGGTTTCTTCCTCCAGGAGTCTAAAACTTAAGAAAAATAAGGTGGCTTGTTTTAGTGAAGATAAAGATAAAATATTGGTGTGACAGGTGGGATATTTCATATTTTTGCTCTTATACCTCTTCTGCATTGCTCATGATGAAATTTATGCCATATTGTGTGATGAAAAGAATATCTCCGAGCAATCAGACTGACGATAGCTTGTTCACTCAGTCAGGTGGCCAATATTATTTAAATTGAATGTTTTAAAAGATATGAACTGTGTCTTTTCCTGATCAATATGTTGTTGGACATCTTGAACCTTTTATAGAAAGCAGATATTTTAGAGAGGATGTCTGTTGCTTTGAATGTTTAACGCAAGAAGTCACTGTGATAAAACTAGGGTTATTATCTTTGACTTGATTAATGACAGCAATACAATGAACTGCAAAAACTGAAATACAGAAAAACTCATATATTAAGTTATAGACATTTGGCTAACTTGCTGTTTTTCTTTTCTCAAACATCTTTTTATTTTGGTAAGTTCATGAGTAAAAGGCATCTGAAGAAAAAATATCTCAGAGATTTTGAAGGGTTATATCCCTTTTCCTTTGCTCCTTACAAAAAAAGGAGGAATCTGTGTTCTTTTTTTCTTTAGCCCCTAATATCTTTTCAGCCTCATATTCTTCATTTATTTTTAATGATTGATGTTATGAAGGTGGCTTTTATCATTACACAGACTGACCTCCCTCAGGGCCTGAGCTAAAAAAGCTAATATTTCACACATTACTTTGAAAAACGCTCCAGCCGTTTGCTGCCCTCTGAACTACCACCAACATACAGCAAGTGAGCAAATGAAAACATGCCTGAGATCGAATGCAATGGAGCTGGGCTGCCTACTGTAAAGAAATATTTTTAAGAAAAGCTTCCTGTACAGTTTCTTCTGAAAAGAAATCTTCAGCCCATTGAAGCCTATACTTCCCTGCATCTTTTGTAACACTATCATTTATTACATTTTTCCTTGCAAGGAGAAGTTTTTCTCTCGTGACACCTATGGATTTCTTTTCACCCCTGGATTTTAGTGGGGAATTCTGTCCACTCTCCAGACAAAAGCCAAAATCTTAAATAACACATCTTCTCATTTGCAAGGCTATTCTTAGTTTTGCACTGGAAATAGCAGCCTTAGAAATAAAGCTTATCATAAACATAGGTTGTTTAATCGCTTTCTTTTATGACTCATTGATAAGTCATACCAGCTCTAGAAAAAGCCTACATTTAGAGGGGGCATAGTTACTGTTTAAACATGCTAATCTCTCCTTCTATAATTATAAAACCTCATCATATCCCTCAAATCCTAATCCCCTACTATCATTTCCACACCAAAAAAAAAGCTAATCTTTCTCATAAAATTAAGCCAACATGCAAAATAGCACAAATCATTTCAAAATGGATAAAAATAGTGCTATCAGAAACAAATTAAACCTTTACACTGGCAATAGGTACCATTTCATCTTACACACCAATTTTGGACTTCTGCTTGCATTCGGGTCCTACCTAATGTTTAGAGATTTTTTCCTAAGCTCACTCCATCTGAAGTTCATGTTATCCAGGCGTCTCTGCAACAGGGCTGCATCATCAGAGCCTTCCAAGGACCTTAGGATTTTCTGCCCATTTTCATCCAGGCTGTGGAAGATGTCAGTATGAGCATCAATTTCTGCCTGAAGATCCTATGGAAGCAATAGAAAAGAATATATGTGATTTGTTATGAAATCATAGAAACTACCATTTCTCCAAAGAGTAGAAAGATCCACAGTGCAACACAGAGTTAACATAGATTTTGATTACTCTTTTGATGACAATAGCGTATACCGTACACATAGCCATATTTCACTTTAACATGAAGGCCATTTGCATGAAAGAATTAATTTTTTTTTCTGTACAGAGTATACTGAACAAAATTCAAAAAGTTAAAACTCTAGCCTTTGACAGTCGACAAATATGCAAGGACAAGACATATTTGCCGGGCTAACAAGAAAAAAACAACCCTCTGGATCTCAGGTAAAGCTGACCTTCACATGATACGTCTTCCTGTGCAACATTTTCAGTTTGAACTGGGGACTGCAACACCGATCCTGCTGCATGGTAAATCCAAGAAAACTAAGCTTCTGCAGCAGCAGAGCTTTAAAATGCCAAGTTCACTTACATTCTGTTGACAGACTGCATTTCAGACCATGGGCCTCAACCATCAATAGCAATAAACAACCACTTTGTGCTATATCAAAACACTGGTCAGGGCCATGGCTGTAGGAGGGACTGGGAATAGCAAAGACCCAGAATATGCAATTGGCAGCTCGTGTTGAACAGCCAACTTTTCTTATCACTTTGCAATTGCAGGCCAGCTACATTCTGAATTCATCTTTCCCCCTCATTTTTAGCAAGGCTGTTTCTGCCAAAAGAACATTCCTATCTGCCTACACACTCAATGGGGCCTTTGTGCAGCGGCTGCCCTTCTTCGAGACGTTCGTATGCTCCAGCGTTATGGACTCATTCTGCAAAGAACAGTGGCTGAATCCAGCTCTTTAAACAAGGTTAAAAAAAGTAATAATAATAATTTAAGCACATACGTACATGAGCACACACATACTCTATATGTAGGCACAAACGCCCCAAAATACTGTTACTTTCAAACAAAGATGTGCACTGATCTCGGGAATAAAGCTCTGCATTTTCGTACGGGAAGCTCGGGCACTAACATTTCCGGCTGTGGTCTCTTGCTTACTGAAATGGAAGCGCTGGCGATGAAGTGTGAAAGGGGAAGTGATTTATGGCGTTCGAGAGCAAGACCCAGGGCTAACTTGAGCATCACGGACAGGCCCCAATGGGAATTGGTTCTAATTTTCTTTAGAAGAAGGATGACTTTGCAGGAGGGAATTGCACATCTTGCCTATTTCGTGTGTTCCTAATTGAATTCGTTTTATTTGATGTTTTAAGAGCAACGTTAGCTGCACTGCATCATGTATAGATTTTCCCTGTCCACCATACTGCTGTTCCAAATGTTATTTGCAGTACTTTGCCGGATACCTGCTCCTCATGTAGTAACTGCTAACACTGTATTTGGAAAAACTTTGAAGAGGTTAGGAATGTACACGGTAGGACAGGGCAGTAGCGGGAGTTCTTATCCAACTATCTATCTTTAGCTGTGTTCATGCTAGCACTAAAATAGTTCGAAATAGGTTTGGAATGTACCAGTACTCATTCTGCAAAATGCAACTGTACTGTAAGAACTACGTTTATTTGTGTATGTTAAATAGTCATTAAAATGAAGCAGTTTTGTTAGCACAGACACTAACGTGTCAAGTGCAGTCCCAATCTAAGAGTGGAGAATAGAGATTTCATCACATGACCTGACACAGGCTGGGCTATTTTAGGGAATGAGAACTAACAGGCACTTAGGTCCCATAGTAAATTTGTACCTATGTTAAGTGAGAAGAAAGGAAAGGAAGGTTTTTCTTCTTTTTTTTGTAGAAGACTTGTCTCTAATATAGACATAAACCCGGCAAAAATAAGATTCAGCCCTCAACAGAAAGACACGAAACTCGTACAGTTCTTCAAAGCAGGCAAAAAATAATGTTGCGATTGACAATCAGGAGGTACTTGTATGTGCTAGGGACTTTAGAGAAAGCTGTCTGAGTAATACAGGGGTGATAAATTTGTATATTTATACACACAGACATATACGTTCCCATCCTCAAAGAGTATACAAAACCACTTTTATGAAAAGTCCTAGATTATAAAGGTAAACAGAATTTTCCAGAATTACTCTGCTTTGAATTTAAATGTAGGTTTCAGAGAAATAGCCTATTTTGATTTTTAAAATGCCATTAATAAGGCACTTACTTACTTAACCATGGATTAGATATTCTAGGTGGGAATGCGTTTGCTTGAAAATTTTGTACTTGATTTCAAGTCCAAACTTCTCAAGCTTCACCTTCCAGATGCAGTATTTCATTTTCGTTTTCCTGAATACTCTATTACCCAATTTCTTTCTCTTCGTGTACGTATTTGAAGATGTTAATAAAGTCAGTCCTTAGGGTAAGTAAAACAAAAGTGATGTAAGTAGCCAAATTAATATTCAAGAAAGGATAAAGGTCACCATAAAAAGTTCACTTTTAGTGTCTGTATACCTTTACAGTCCTTGCACCTTTAAAACAGATAAATCCATCGCTCAGAAAAAGTCATCATATGCAGTTTGTAGGGCACAAAATTCTTAATTTTTAGGGTGGCCTTGGAAACAACTGCCTCTTCCCTGGCAAGAATAACATGTGCCATGAAATACATACGTCAAATACCTGTTTGTAACAGGAGACTGTAAAATCAATGCCTTTTTGGCACTTTATGACACAGAATTTTACAAAAATTCACTTTCACATTTTTATTGCCTTTACAAAACTGTCTCACAGTCTACACATCCCATGCTTTTCTCCTCACATATACACATTTCTGCAGATAGAATTAAGCCATATTCTTTTTATTTAGATTGCTATATAGTATCACAATCAAACTGGGCTGTTAGTCAAATGGGCAACAAGCACATGAAAAGTGAAGTACTCTTATCCAAAGCTTATTCTTCAAGTCCTGATTTTCCTTACTCCAAACTACCTGCGTAAACTGCATATTCTCTAATGCTCCTAAAAGTAATTTACTCCAGCTACGCAGCAAACTGATGCTGACGGACAAAGCAGCACGACAACAACAAGGCATTTACGTCATTTTGGTCGGGTGCATTTCACACCTCTTCTTTGTGACTCCTTCAAATCCCAAGAGAAGCAGAGTGCAGACAAAACAAAGATCTATACACCTGTATTTATCTTCTGAAATAAGTAATTCCCATGTTTCAAAATACAAGTGAAAGATCAATGTGAACCAGATTCTTTTTCCTGACAAGAATAAAGGGGGAGAACCCATTTCATCTTATAAATGGCTAAGATGTTTGCTAAATTATACTGGCATTACACATCATACCAAGAGACAGAATATACACTAAATACAGAGTATTTGTAGCATTTTCATCTTTTCCAATGTTTTCAAACTTAGGTGGGAACTGCAGAGGATGAAAATCAATCCCAGTATAATTCTACTGAAATTATTTGAGCTACAATTAGATTTCAGCTCTGTATACTGCATTTCTGCTGTAGCAGTTATTACTCACGCTGTGAAGAAATATAATCTCTTAAAAAGAGCAGACAGCAAAATAAAACATGAATCACGAAAAAATACACTGGCTATAGTAACTCATCAATGAGTATGGATTATTAGCCTAAGTTAGTATTCAAGTCCCCACTTTGTTTGAGCATAGTTTACTCCCTAGAGTGAGCTGAACTATTTACAAAGAACCGTCACCCCAACCAGTGGCAGATTTGCCTAAGAATTGTACAGCAAAATCCTCCTTTATTAAGATGAAGTATAGACTTAAATCATGAAATGTAATATAATGTTTGATCATAGGCACCTTGCTGAAGAGTAACTACAAGTTCCTACACACTTAGAATCATGCATTTACTCTACAGAATAGATTTGTATAGTATTTACACCATGGAATAATTCTGTCCAATCTATACAGAACTCAGTTTTGTATCAAAGGTTAGACGATTTTTTTCATAAATGATACAATGACTAGCTTAAATTGTGTACTCTTCCTTAATGTTGAAACAGATTTGAAATTGTAAAGTCATTAGGGTTTCAGTAACACAGATTGATTAAAATGATAAAGAGATGAAATAAACTTGTCTTGAGAGGAACAATGAATCTTCTGGGGCAGAATAGGAGGAGGAAATTTGTCCTTTTGTCCTGTGCCTTTGAAAGCTCAATGCATGATTTCAGGGCAGAGGTATAGGATGGCTGCAAGACAGTACCCCTAATATTGCCCTAAAGCTAGGGGATGAATGTATTTCTGCCCTGTCAAACCCAGCTCTCTCCCTTGGAACTGTTTAGCATTCTCCACAAAAGCACACAGTCTCGCTGCCTTAACTCCTCTCCCTCATCTTTTTGGTAGGTAAAAGAAATTCACCTGCGGCACCACATGTTTTATCTCATGCAGAATCCTGTAAAACACAGCTGAGCCATCTCTGTGAAACCCAGTGTATTGAAAGTCTGGTCAGCATTCATATAGCAGAGCTATTACAATAACAAAATTCAACACGGTCTGGGATACTTTATCAGAAATAATTAACTAATGAATGTCAATATCTCCTCATCCCACAAGCAATATATATAGGCATGATGTACAAAGGGTATTTTATTTGTGTCATTTTGCCATGACACATGGCAAAATCTGCCATTATTTTTGGCAATTCATCACAAAGGGATTGGTAGTGTGTCTGGCTTATTCTACTTCATTTTCCTCAATAAGAGACTGGAAATATAATAAAGTCCTTGAAAGAAGTAATTAGTTACACTAGTTGGACTACATGAGTCAGACGTGGACATGAAAATTAACATAGCACAGCTGACAAAACATTTATCTTGTATGCAAGATAGAAACAAAATTAATTATGTAATAATTTAAGAAATTAAATCACTTAAATTCACCTCTGCAAACTCAGTCCTATCCCTGGAATTGTGCTTTTCGTTTCCAATTAAGTATTTTACATTTTCTAGGTAACGCACAAAGTTAACATATTAATGAAATAAATGGAATTAATTAGGACAAGATGGCTCTGAAAATTAA